TGGAAGTAGTTTGGACAAAGCATCCAAGATATACAATCACAAGCACACTCACTACAAGCACACTATAATTACACTCTTACAATACTAATAAACATCACACTTATATTATATTAAAATTAAAATTAAAATTAATACAAGATAGAAGAAAACTTACAAAGGGTCACACTCTTGGAAGTAGTTTGGACAAAGCATCCAAGATAAAAGCATCCAAGATATACAATCACAAGCACACTATAATTACACTCTTACAATACTCTCACAATTTACAATATGAAATTTTTTCATATTCTGAAAGTGTGCCCTCTATCGATGGAATGGCTAGCTTTTATAGAGGAGACGAGATGGGATTGAAATTGTTTGAAGTCCGAAGAGAAAAGAGGGAATCTTCTTTTGCAATTCTCGGTGGAGAGAACATTATTGCTTGCTTTTGTCAGTGGAGAATCCATTATTGATTGGCATGTGACTTTGTTGATAAAAAGAATTCACTTTATGAGCTAGCATGAGCTGACATTTGATTGCTTGAGTCGTGAGTTTGCATTTGATGGAGAATTATTGAGAGAGGAATCTGCTTTATTGATATTATGGTCCTTTGAATAGCTGCTTTGGATATTGCGGGAGGTAGAGATCATATGGCTCATAGATTATTGTGGTCTACACCTTGACATGTGTTCGAAAAGTCGTCATCAAGGTGTTGAGTGGGGATCCGTGGTGACGATGCTAGAGAGATTAGTGGAGATATTGTCGGTTGCCTTGGTTTGATAAGAATTGAGGGAATAGTTTCCAATACAATGTCTTCATCGGAGTCTAAAAGGCATTCTGCTTCAACCATTTAAATCATTTTCATTTTAATAGCTTTTTTATATTTGTTTTCAAATTCTGGTTTGGAAATTGAAGGATACTTATCTTTTAATTTTGGTTTAAGTCCTGTTTTGAAAGCATCATAGTCAAAAGACTTTGATGATTTGGGGCTAGAGGAAAATATGGAAGGAGCAGGATTAACAGAGGCCATTTGATTTTAATACTTCTTCTGATGATGAACTAGAAGATCATCCCAAAGATTCTCATGAATGTCCATGTCAATCAACAAATGATTGTTATAAGGCTATTTTAGAAATGAATGGCCTCAATATTAATGTTTTAACAACATAAGAGAAAATGATTCTTAAATTTATCGATAATATTGATGATTTTGAAAAAAAAAACAATAAGCTATGTTCTGATATTCAAATTCCAAACAAAAGAATGCCCCAACCATACATACTATGCAAGAATTAAAATATGACACTTCTAATTTCAAAGATGTTCTTGATTGCGTTAACAAACTACCCACTCCACTCAATACACCTGCTATTCAAGATCTACAAAATGAAATCCGCAACCTTAAAGCTGATGTCCAAAATTTACAACCCCAAGTCTTTGCTCATGAAGAAAATTCTGCCAATGCTGATGATTTCCTTGCTGACTCATCCTTTCCCTATGAACCATATCTCCAGAAATCATCTAACAAACACCTTGACAAACAACCACTTGTTATTAATGACTCTATTAATTTATTCCATAATAGTATTACATTTCAAAAATGGTATATTGAAATTAAAGTCGCAATACATGATTTTATTTTAACAACTATGACACTTGTTGATTCCGGTGCTAATCTCAATTGTATTAAAGAATTTCATGTACCTTTTAAATATTTTGAAACAATTGATCAATCCTTGAATACTGCTAATGGTGGATTCATGGAAATTAATTACCAAATATCTTATGCACAAATTTGTAATCAAGGCATTTGTCTAAATACTGAATTCTTATTAGTAAATGATGCTTTTAGGTTAAGGTCAAGGGAAGGAACGTTGAAGATGAGGCCTTTTGAAAGAAGGCGACACTAAATGATGCTTTTGGGTTAAGGTCAAGGGAAGTAATGTTGAAGATGAGGGTATTATGAAAATTTAGTGGTGTGAATTGAGAGAAAGACACAAAAAATCAAAATTATGTGTGGTGTGAGCTAAGTAATAGTGTGAATGGTTACAAGTTAAAACTAAGCTACAAATAGTAGCTTAAGAATTTTTTTTAGGGGTTAAATAAGCTAAAAAATAAAATAAATTATAGTTAAATACTATTAATTAATTTTTTTTAAAGTAATAGGCTAAATAAATAAATTTAGAAGTAACACCAAACAAAACTTGTACATTCAACCTAAAAGAAAAAATGGAAAATGAAAAATTACAATTCAGTATAAATTTAGAGTAAAAAAAATACACATTGATGGCAAACTTTACAAATATTAATGATTAAAATTTTAAACTTTAAACTTTATGAATTTGTAAATATTTTTGCGACATGCAACTGAATTGTAATTCCACTTCCCCTCAATTTTGGCTAACTAATAATGTATAAATAAAAAATTTATATATATTTTATTTTAAAACACAACTTCGTAAAAATAATTTTTATTTATAATAATAATATTACCATTAGAGTGATATAAATTAATCAAATAGTTCGAATTCGATTTGTATTCAACTCATTAAAAGCTCGTTCATTAGGAATAGGCTCCCATCCATACCTTTACCTCTCTCTATACTTTTCTTGTAGACCCCAATTCAGACCCACACTGATGATTCGAATCATCTATCTCATAAATTTCGTAATAAAGGCTATCCATACAAAAAAATGAACTTCATCGAAAAATTATAAATACAGGAACAAAAAATATTTTATTTTATAAAATGGATAGTTTAAGTTTACAATCACATTTGTCTTTTATTTTATAAAATAAAATTCAATTTTTTTCTTAAGTTTATAATTTTCTAAAGAAACTTATTTTTTTGCATAGATGACCTTTATTACGAAACTTACAAGATAGATGATTTAGATTATTGGTGCGGGTCCAAATTGGGGCCTACAAAAGGGGTATGGAAAGGTATAGAGGCCCCGTTTGGTAGAGCTATAGAAAAGTGATTATAACTTATAGCCTAATAGCTTATAGCTTATACCTGTGAACATAAGTTGATTTTTGGCTTATAAATTAAGCTTCTCCTCCCTCACTCAAAGAATAAGTTGATTTTTGACTTACAAAAAGCTATAAGCTGTATTGTTAAGCTGAACCAAACACATCAAAATAGCTTAAATTAAGATAAAAGCTTAAATAAGCCGGAAATAAGTCTTACCAAACAGGGCCAGAGAGATAAATGTATAGAGGAGAGCTTATCCCCATTCATTAAGTAAATAAATTAATCTTGAATACAGTTTACAACTTGTTAAAAATTTTTAACGAAATTTGAACAGTCAATTGCTTATTTAGCTCAATTTGATAAGCCCAAAACTATATAGAAATATAAATTGTTCGACCTAAAAAAAAAAAAAAAACCTCATTTGAGATTGGCTAAAACATTTAATAAATCAAACTTAAGAAAATTTTAAAACTCATTAAAATTTTCACACCAAGCTTGACAAATTATCTTTTGGCTCATTCGACTCGTTTATCCTCCCTAATTACCATAGCTTATTGTGGAAGGTGAAATTATCTCCACAGCAAAAACGAGATGACATGTCCTGTCCTTTTATTTCTGTCAAGAGAAACCAAATGTCAGTGATCACCCCCGATCAGATTTGGTCGGGAGGACCCTTCGACGATCAAGTCAACTTACTGATCAACCATGCTGAAATATACAATTTGTATTTAAAAGAGGGTTTTTGAGTTACCTCTTGCTTGCTCTTAGTGCTTTACCTGTTGGCCTTTTTATAGTTACTTAGCTTAAATCTTATTCGTCCGTTTATCTTTTGATCAGAGGGTTTTGCCTTTGTTGGGCAATGACCAATCCAATTGCCAAGTTGCTGTCTTGCTTGGATAGCTAAGATCAGGTCAGATACTAGTGCCCAATTAGCTGGGCATCACAATCATGAGATGGTTTTGATCGGATGGCGTTGCTCTGTTAGTCCCAACCTACATTTCTGAATTTCCTGACATGTATTCTCATTCATTGGATTGAAGCTCAATCCAATAATCCTCCTTTCTTTACATATCTTCATTCTAAAAAGGATATCTTTATGTTTAATTGTCTCTTACGCGCTGAACTTGGATCAACCTACTGCCAACTGTCCTTCATGAATTACTTTGGGTTCTTCTCTTTTTTTTTGGGCTAATGTCAATAGATTTTGGCCTAAGCTCATATTTTTTCCTTTCACATTTATCATGTTTTCTATATAAATTTCTTTAAAAAAAAAAAATTAAAAAAAAGGATTTGAGCTTTTTAATAAAATCAATCCTGAATTTTTAATTTTAAATCTTAATATTTTGATTTATTTTCAATATAAACTATTCAACTATTTTTGTTAAGTAATACTAATAGAGAAAAAGTATTTAAGCTATTAAATTTAATATAAATATACATAAAATATTATATTTTATTCATTTTAATGAATAAAATATATATTTTTTTATCGATTGTACTTAACGAAAACAACTAAATGATTTATATCGAAAATAAATAAGAATTTTAAGATTTAAATTGATAAAATTAAAAAATTAAGAATTTTTTTCTGAAAACTAAGAGGGTGAACGGTAAGGAATTTTTTTTTTTTTTTCAGGAAAAAAAATTCTGGATTTGAAGAACGAAAAGAAAAATTAGGGTTTCAGATTTTTTATTTTTGGTTACAGAAAAATCCTCCTACTCTGCCACAGTTTCAAAACAGCTCTCCCCACTGTCCTTACCCGTTCTGAGCGACTATAGCTTGAAACTTTTGAAATACTCTGTTGAAGTTGAAGCATACGGCCGAAACTATTCGAAGAATTGAGTTGTCAAAACAGGGGCTTGTATGTATGAATAATACTTGAGACCCCTTTTGGGGTCACCCCTCGCCCCCTTTGTCACGTAGCGGGTGATGATTGGAGGAGCAGGAAAAAAAGAAAAAAAAAAAAGAAAATATAACCAATGAGAGAGAGAGGAGGTCAAAGGGGGTGAGGGGAAAATGAAGGATGAATCATTGTCGTGTATGTTTATATGGATCATCACAAGTGTAACTTCACAATCTAACTTTGCTCTTTTTTCTCAAATTCTAGCTCTCTCTGTTTTATAGAATCTCTGTATTTTATTATACCCCAATTCCTAAAAAATCAGTATTCTCTTCTAATTAGATCAATGTCAGACTACATACCCAATGAACTCATAATTGAAATTCTTGTAAGACTCCCCGTACAATCTCTACTTCGATTCACATCTATCTGCAAATCATGGCACTCTCTCATCACAAACCCTAGTTTCATCACCAAACACCTCAATCAAACCATTACGGACAGAAAAAGAAACAGTGACAAGCTTCTCCTTCGGCTTTACACTGATAATGATGAGAAAGAACACTATCTCTTGTGCTCCGACGACGAAAAATTCGGTGACGATTATTCGGAATTCAAGTTCCCATTCAAAAGCTTAATTGGGTATTTCAGAATTGTTGGTAGCTGCAATGGTTTGCTATGTCTTTGCGACGATTATTTCGGTGATACCCATCATATTGTTTTATGGAACCCATCAATTAGGAAATCAGTGACTCTCCCTATGCCTTGTAAGCCACAAGGCCCCTATATGTTTGTTCTTGGATTTGGGGCTCACCCCATGACTCATGAGTACAAGGTGGTGAGGATTGTGTATGAGGAGCATATAAATCGGTTCAAAGTTCCTCCGAAGGTTGAGCTTTACACACAAGGGATAGGGTCGTGGAGAGAGATTGATTCTGCTTCTGCTCCTCCGTATTGCATAGTTGAATTTATGTGGTCACAAGCTTTTGTGAATGGAGCTGTACATTGGGTTGCATATGATCCAAGTGCGGTGGGTGGTTTTTGCAATTTGATAGTGTCGTTTGATATGGTTTCTGAAGCATTCTCTGAGATGATGCTACCTCCTGCTTTAGCTGGTCGGTGTCCAATGCGTCTGTCCATTAAATTATTTGGAGAGTCATTGGCTGTGTTTTGTGGTGCAGAAACACGCAGATCTTCTTGCTGCATATGGGTGATGAAAGAATACGGAGTTGCAGAATCTTGGACTAAACTATTCAGTATTAATCTACCAGGTGTGTTGAACAAGACGTTGGGATTTAGGCAGAATGGTGGGGTTCTGCTATCAACAACTAACAACTGGCTAAGTGCTTATGACCCTGGAACCAAAACAATTTCGAATACTGGAATAAAGGGGAGTTCACACTCATTTAATGTTGATACTTTCCTGGAAACCCTAATTTTAGTGAAAGAACATACTAATGTCTTAGAGGGGCAGTTGAACCATTTGTAATGCTCTGCTTCCAATTTCCTAGAGAGCAAGAAATACAGTTGAAAGAGAAACAGTTATGAATAAGCAAGTGAAAACAAAAAAGGATGTGAGAAGCAAAAGTGAGATATCTTTAGACTTGTTACTCAATATCACCGTGCTCCATGTAGGGGATTTATAATGGAAGGTATTAGAATACTCTAGGTTAGCTAGGAAGAAACATCAAGAAAAATCATCCAGCTATAATTTTAAGCTGAATGAATGTTTCTATCTGCTTCTGAAAATGCTTCAACTAGTAGTCTGAGCAGTCTTCTCACTGAATTTATCCTACAAAAAGAAGATGGTGTGGGATTTTAGAGATGCAAGATCTCTAGTTTGTTGGGTCCAATTCTCAAGTAGGACTTCAAATCTAGATCCCTCTCTTTGGAAGTGGCAGGAGTTGAAATGTAATAACTTTAGAATCCAGTATTTGTGCTGTATACTCTTTAGTTTATTTGGATTGAGGTAAGATTGGAGGGGGAAGAAGAGGTTTATGGTTTTAAAGGGAAGAAAGGGTATTTGTATAGGTAATATTGATTCTATGAGAAGGTGGAAGGAGGTAAACCTGGCATTCCACTAGTTGCCTGTTTGTATCTCATCACCGATCCTTTTCTTAACAGATGCGACTTTGCCTCAATTTCCTATGACGCTTTATTTTGAGATTCTGTCAAAAGAGGGTGAAGTAGAAAATCATTTTTCTCTGGCAGTGGACAAATGTGGATCTTGATATTATAGAATATATGTTTATAGCTGGAGTGGCAGATCATCTATGAGCGACCGTAAGATGGTTTGGAAAATGAATACATGGATATAAATGTTAATTGTTGTAGTTGATTTGTGTTTCCATAGAGTCCATATTCTAGATTGAGATGTTACCTCATTTTAGTTTCATATGTTCGATTCTGATGAAGCATTTCACTCTTATGAAGCAATTGTGGCTGCTATTTTCTTTCCTAAAGTATAGGATATTTTGCTAAAACAAGTGGTTTCTCATCCTTTATTGTTTTTTGTTGTGCATGTACATCATATTCTACTCTTGTTAGCCAAAAAAAGAAAAGATAAATGGGAAAGTATAAAGGGCCACTGATACACTGAATAATGACTTAAGTGCCCATTAAACGAGTTTCATTATGGTGCCATCATATTCTCTATGATATGTATGAGAAGGATGATGTATAAAAATGGCTTTGTCATTTTGCAGGAAGGCATATTTGCTGGCTACGTATTTATGGTTACATGTAGTTATGTATGGCTGAAAATAAGAAGAGAGTACATAAAATAGATTACAGGGTGAGTTTTCCTGTGCATATATCATATTCTATTCTGTTTTTCTGTTTGATTTGTGTGCACTGGGGTTTGTTATTGAGTTTGAAAGCTTTTTATTCATTGCCTTATATTAGGTATCATTATTTTATATGGGAATTGAATCTGCAATACAAGTCAACTTCTCTCAATATCATAAAAAAGGTTCCATAATTGCTTGAGCCTACTGTTCCTGAGAGGAGCATTTGTGTTACTGTTGGGTAAATTACACTGCACTTTGGTAAAGTGCACTAAATCCGACTTTGCTTTGTACACATGAAATTGTGATAGTTAATCTTCTGCATTTTTGCTCAAGTGTCAATGTCCCATTGTAGACACAAATTTTGAAACATGAAGTGTTTCAACATATTTCAAAATTTCATGTTACAAATATACACGGTTTAGTTTTTGGACTAAACATTGTTGATTATTTGAAGTGTTGATTATTTGAATAGCAGGTTCTTATTTCCGATCTGTATTCCAGATCATTAATTACACATTTTATATAAATGAAGTCTCCGATTAATGAAGAACAAAATAAATAACAGAAGACAATTTAAGAAAAATAAATATTTTATTGAAACTATTATGGGTTTTGAATCCTTGAATACAAAGTACAATTCTTGGGTTTGGAACCCTTTATATATTCATCACCATTCTGCGTTTGTAGAGTAGGTTTTTGAGTTCTCGAAGCTTCTTTTCATCTTTCTTGTAATGATTTCTTTAGCTCTTGATTTCTTTCTCTCTCTCTCTCTGATCTTCTCACATCTGATTTTCTGATCCTCGATCTTGTGTGATGGTCCTCATATTTATAGATGGCTATTTAGATGATAAGAATGTCTCATCCTCAATTTGAATTTCAAATTGAATAATAGCGCCATTGGAATTTTGAATGATAAAGCTATATGATTAATCGTATATCTGATTAACCAGATTAATCTTTGGGGTTTCATCTTATGTGGTGTTCTAGTTGTAGGCTCTATAAGTGTCATCTTTCGTAGATTTCACGTGTCATTTGAGCATCTTGAATAACGTCGTTGAGATATGACATTTTATTTATACACTTTAACGAATCAACTTGATCATTTTAGAAAGTGATTACGAACAACAATCCAATCATAGGCTTCCATGTGTGTCATTAACTGATTGATCGTATTTGAAATTTGAACATAAATTTCAACCAAATTTATGTGCCAACAAATGCCCCATCGTGACTTGTACAAGTGAATTTTCTTAAATATGCGACTCACGACAATTTGGCACTTCTATATCTGGATGATCTTTAGGTCCTGGATGAGATTATTTCTTGGCCTTGGTTCTTGCCCCCTTTTTTTTTTTTTTTGCATGGACCCTTTACTTTTGTTGCATGGGTCCTTTCTGTGGACTTGATCCTTTTTTAAAAAAAATAAAAATAAAAATAAAAATAAAAAGTTAATTGCCCTTTATAGTCCATCGGTCTTTCACTTTTGTTGCATGGGTCCTTTTTTAATAAAAGGTCATGGATAAGGTCCAAGATTTAATTGGACCTTTCCTTTTGTGGGCCTCCAACTCGCTACCATTTTTTTTACAACAGATTTTTTTTTTCTAGGCCATCATGGATATTGATGGGTAAAGTCCAAGATTTAATTGATTCTTTTTTTTTTGTAGGCCTCCAACTTATTATTATTTATTAATTTTTTTTAGGATCAGATTCTTTTTTATTTTTTTATTTACATCAGATATATATATATATATTTTAGGAGTTTGTCTAAATGAAATAGGATGGATTGGCATTGATAGGATTTCAAATCCTATATGAACTCTTGCTTCTTTGGAGTGTTTTAAGCGACCATTAACTCTTTTCTTAAGCAAGACTTTTTACTTTATATAACACCTATTCATGCATACAGTCCATATATATTTTTTTCCTGCAACTTTCTTCCTTCCAGCAGATTTTTGTTTCTAGAAAATCTTTAGGGATATTTACTAGCTAGTTCCATTAAATGAAATTAATTACTCATAAGTCCTGTTAACCTTTTAAATGCACCATTAAGTCCTCAACTGTCCATATTACCCTCACTACACGTACTGACACCATTAAGTCCTCAACTATCTTCAGCTCCAATGTGGTATTGTACATGGTTTCCAGTGAGATCAAGACTTTTTAAAGACCATCGTCGCCTCCACTGTCGTCATTGCCAGCGACCTCAACCGGTATCTTCTTCCACTTTCACCATTGCTTCCACCTCCATTGACGTATTCGCCTCTACCACCACCGACGTCTTCACCTCTACCTCTACCTCCACCGTCGTTGTCGACCACTGCCGCCTCTACCTCCATAGTCGTCGCTGTCTCCACATATAGATCTACGATCTAGGCTCTTTGCCGTTGAGTCTTCTCTCTCTCTCTCTCTCTCTCTCTCTCTGTGTATATTGGGGAAGATCCCAGTGATAAATCTGTTTAAACCAGTGATAAATTTGTTTAAACTAGTGATAAACCAGTGATAAATTTGTTTAAACTAGTGATAAATCAGTAATAAATTTGTTTAAACCAGTGATAAATTTGTTTAAACTAGTGATAACTTTGTTTAAACCAGTGATAAATCAGTGATAAATTTGTTTAAACAAGTGATAAATCAGTGATAAATTTGTAGTGTTGAGTCTAGGGGTAAAAATGAAAAACACTATTTGATTTTTTTGGGTAGGACCTGCTGGGTAATAAGACCGATCCATAGGACCAGCCCGTAACTCTCAAAATCTTTATCCTTTTAGCATATTTTTTTTTTTCCAGCAAATCTCCAACAGCCTTTCTCTTTCTTTTTTTTTTGTTTTTTTTCCTTTCCTCTGCAAATTTTGTAGTGCATATTAGGTCTTCACCCTTTCAAGTTATTTCCATCAGAAGTTATCTGGCCATTGTATTTCTTGTCTTCCCAGCAGAAGCTGCTCTTCTTACACTTCAAAGAAGGCACAAAGAATTCCTTCAAATTCCTTTTAATTAGGTATGCTTCCCTTATACCGTCATCATGATATGAAGCTATTTGTTGCTCTTTTTTTCTTTTTATTTTATTTTATTATTATGATGGAAAAAATTGTCACCTTGTTTGTTTAAAACAAAGACAGCCCATAGTCTAACAAACAAAAACCCTTCTTGAAATCGAGACAACCATGTAAGCAAAAAAATTTCCAGACCAAACAGCTTCTTTTTCTTGTGCTTTATCTTCCACAAGATCTTGTTATTATTATTATTATTTATTATTGTTATTTTTATTTTTAATAGCAACAACCTGTTTGTTGTTGTGCTGTTTGGCATACTCTATTTTATTTTATTTTTATTATTTTTCTAAATGGCCTAAAGAACCTGAGGCCAATATGACCATACCAATTTTCTAGACCATAGTCCACAAAAAAGAAAACCCTTCTTGAAAGGGTGAATCAAGACAACAATGTAAGCCCCCTTTTTTTACTCCAAAAACCCTGCTGCTTTCAACTTCATCATTTGTTTATTATTTTTTTTTTTTTTTGACACCCATATTAGGTTCATGAATATCATGTTCTTAAATTCTGCATGAAGCAACATCCCTTGTATGTACAATTGACCCAACAAAACAAGACCTCCATCTCTGCATTTTTTTTAGGGCATAAGATTTCTTTTCTTCAAGAAAGAACAAGTTCTTTTATGGTCAATCAAGTTGTTCATCAAGTATGCACTATGCCTTTTATTCATAGCATTTTTTTTTTTTCAGCAGCCTGCATACAAAGTCTTTGCCTGTGGATATGACCAAAGAACCTGCTACTTGTATCCTTGAACAAATGACAGCAAAATCCCAGGCTACAAAAATCTGCTTTCCCTTTGGCTTCTTTGGCTGAACCCTCACAAATTTTCAACCACAAATTTTCAACCCCTTTTGTAGAAACTTGTCTCCCTTTTTTTTAAAAAAAAAAAATCTAATCCAGTTAAGGCCTGCTCCCTCATGATTCATGCAAGTGAATTTTAACTGTACGAGTTATGAAATTTTCTTTTTTTCATGTCTTTTTACCTCTTTTGTGGGCAACACGAAAGGTGTCAGAGTTTGTTTGTAGGTATCATTGCCCCTTCTATCCTAATGGCAATAATTAGCTTGAATCCTTGGCAGTGATTGTGTCCTTTCACCCCAATGGCGTGAATCCTTGGCAGTGATTGTGCCATTTCACCCCAATGGCTTTAATCCTTGGCAGTGATTGTGTCCTTCACCCCAACGGCTTGAATCCTTGGCAGTGAATGTGTCCCTCACCCCAATGGCTTGAAACCTTGACAGTGAATGTGTCTTTCACCCTAATGGTTTGTATCCTTCGTAGTGATTGTGTCATTCACCCCAATGGTTTGAATCATTGGCAGTGAATGTGTCCTTTACCCCAATGGCTTGAATCCTTGGCAGTGAATGTGTCCTTCATCCTAATGGCTTGAATCATTGGCAGTGATTGTGTCCTTCACCCCAATGGGTTGAATCCTTGGCAGTGAATGTGTCCTTTACCCCAATGGCTTGGATCCTTGGCAGTGGTTGTGTCCTTTACCCCAATGGCTTGAATCCT